CTAGTGTTGGAAGGGTTCTCGAAGTGGCAGGAATGGGAGAATAAAGCTGGCAAAGAGACTGTTGCAGACGATTATGCCGAAAATGTTCCAAAAAGTATCGTAGGTCTGACGCAAAGTTAGAGCAGCTGGCAACTGGGTTTGGCGAGCCTTTTGGTGCCGAGCAAAGGTAGGGCAACAAAGACGAGGTTGAAGAAGATGCAACAGCAGATGCTGACGAAAGGGAGGGATGATATCGAAAAGGAAGGAAGTGTGAAGAGGATAGCGAGAGCAGGTTCGAAAAATGTCGGTAGAATAGGGAAGCGAATGGGGAGACTGGCGACGAAGAGGAAGATATAGCAGCTTTCTGTGACAAAATGAGTTTAACGGTGAATATTGTGTTGATTTTTTTTTAAATAATGATAATAACAATACAAGTGGTGGGACAATAATGTTACTAAAAAGATGGAGGGAACGGATACGATCATACATTTGATGATGATATGAATTATGGGGATGCCGATTAAGATGCTTAGAATAGTGAAGATGAGGATAATATTGATGATAATGAAGATTCTAATGAAGAGAAGATGGTATAAATAAGGCATAATAAAAGATGAAGGCAGGGAATGCAAGTAAGTTGAGGACGATGGGGGAGAGTTTGGTAGAGAGGATGAAAAATAAACTGGTTGGGTAGGATGGATGGAGATAAGTGAGAATTTGCACATGATAGGCATTTTGAGAATGTGAGCAGATTGGGCCAAATGATGCTGAGGCGGATGAATATGATGCAGACGAGGGTAGATTAGAAAGAAAAGATTAGAAGAAATACACACATGCGGATTCATTATATGACAAATGGGAAGTTCTCTTTAACTTTAGATTATGTAATTGCATCTAGTCTACGCAATAATTGCAAGAGTCCTTCATATATACTACAAATAATGATAAATATTACAATGCTGCGAGCGTTAAGTAGGCTTTCTGGTTGCGGACACGGACGAATGATGTGAATGTGATTGAGGGGAATGGAGGGAATGGTGGAGATGAGTGGGTGGCTGGGTAGAAAGAGGGTAATGCGGTTGGTCAAGGCTGTAGTCATGAGAAAAGTGAAAATAGGCATGAAATGCATGGGAAAATAGTTAAGGTGATAATTGGAAAAATGACAGGCGAGTGAAGATGAATGATGGGAAAAGAAGGAGAGTCTTTAAGGGAATCGAAATGGTGAGCAAGACCAGAAGTGTGGGATATTAAGGGGAAAGGGTACCAAGTGCAAATGTAGACGAAAAAGATTCGTGAATTGGCGGCACTAGCAACAAAAAATCCACGAAGCATCATCATCTGAGGCCGATTCGTCCGTTCTGAGCTCTTAGCTGCATGTTCAAGAAGGAAACAAACCCACCAAAGACGAAACCAAAAGTGACTGTCAACTGCGGACAAATTACTTGTTTCAGCCTATTCCCATTTTCACACATTAGTTGTGGGTTGCGTGTATAAACAATATGGGATGTTAACACTCAGACCGGCCGCCAGAGATTGTTCCCATTTCCTTTTCCCTCCTGCAGAGGATGTCCGATAAGCATGAGGCCAAATTGTCGAAATCCTTCTTCTTCCTTTCCGCATTTCGTCGATTTCCCGCGAAAGACAGCCGGATGGTAGAATCAGGAATGAAGTATAACTATTCTGAACATCCATTTTCCGTCATTCTCTCTCTTACTACTGTGACCTATTACACAAGTTATACTAAA